GAACTGGACTGTTGCTCAGTGGTCCACAGTCCTCTTTTATGATGAATGTTGTAAGTAAATGTTGCATTTCATTTGGAAATCAAAGTCCCAGAGTCTGGAGGAAAAGTGGAGAGGCACAGAATCCAAGCTGCTTGAAGTCCAGTGTGAAGTTTCCACAGTCTGTGATGATTTGGGGTGCAATGTCATCTGCTGGTGTTGGTCCATTGTGTTTTATCAAGTCCAAAGTCAATGTAGCCATCTACCAGGAGATTTTAGAGTACTTCATGCTTCCTCCTGCTGACAAGCTTTTTGGAGATTTTCCAGCAGGACTTAGCACCTGCCCACAGTGCCAAAACTACTTCTAACTGCTTTGCTGACGATGATATTACTGTGCTTGATTGGCCAGCCAAATCGCCTGACCTGAATCCCATAGAGAATCTATGGGGTATTGTCAAGAGGAAGATAAGTAACATCCGACCAAACAATACAGACAAGCTGAAGGCCGCTATCAAAACAACCTGGGCTTCAATAATGCCTCAGCAGTGCCACAGGCTGATCGCCTCCATGCCACACCGCATTGAAGCAGTAATTCATGCAAAAGGAGCCCCAACCAAGTATTGAGTGCATAATTAAACCTACTTTGGACATTTCTGTTTTGTAAATCTTTTTTGATTGATCTTTGAGAAAATATAAAAAATTTTTGAGATACTACATTTCTTATTTTCCTAAGCTGTAAGTCATAACCATCAGAATTAAAACAAAACGAACAAAAAAAAAACTCTTGAAATATTTCAGTTTGTGTGCAATGAATCTAGAATATAAGAAAGTTATTTTTTTCTTGATATTCTATAACTTTTTTTCTATAACTTTTCCATGATATTCTAATTTTTTTAGATCCAGTCGGCAACGGCCGGCCGCCTGGTCCCGAGATGGGCCGACCGAGCCGTTCAGTCAAAATCAAGCACGTCATCAGAAAGATTGCAACACGAGCTCATTTTCAGTGAAAGCTAGATAATGGACTGTAAAAAAGGAAAGGCTGTGCAGAAAAACTTTGAGAGAAAAAAAAAAGGACTTAGGTCCGACGCTGCTAAATGTGTAAAATTAACC